CCTGGTTTGGTTCCCAGAACTGCTGCGAAACAGTTAAACAAGATGCGAACAGGCCAGTTGTACAAGTACCACCGAACTACTAACAAACATACAAAGTAGTAGTAACAGAAACCAGTACGACCGACGACAGCGGAGCAACATTGAAGATAACATAAGCCGGGTTTTATTGTTAATCAATATTTACGAAGAAAGCTGTGAAAGAAGTGCTGAACTTGGACGGAGAGGAGTGAGTGAGATTGCAACTCGCCCCTTAAGAAAATACAACAACTGGATATTTATGTATGTGTAAGTACACATGTAGACAGGATTCGTGAGATAAGTTTCTTCCTGTAAATAAATGTAAAATGGGTCGGGTTTCAGGCGTTGTTTTTCCGTGAAATGCAAGTTATTTAAGAGACGCACAACTATTATCTCGTGTCACTCAATTGGGAAATATTTAGTGGATGGGTGGAGTGGAGCATGGTGAAATGTTCGCCTGCGAGTCTATGACAATTGCTTTCTTCTCCGGTTTCATTTCCTATTACGTTTACTACGAGTCTGCTCTGCCTGTCCTTCTGGGAAAAAAGTTGTGGCTAGATTTTTGGATAAACCGAACCTGCCATGTGTACATTTTCTTCTTTCTATTCTCGCAATGTGGTAAAAGCTCTGGTTCGAAGGAGGGAGGTGAAAAGATTCCGTAGCACTGGCTAAAACTTGAACCTTGGGAATTTAAGAGTGGTGGTGGAAAGGAGATGAAGATGTGCAACAAGAGCAAAAACCCAAGTTTCCGGAACCAAACTGGGCCATAGGAGAGCAAGTAAGCGTGGTTACTCAGGAAGTGGGAATGTCTTGCGGATTGATGTTCTAAACTGGAGAGAGGAATGCCCAGGAGAGGGGAGGTTGAAATCCAAGTGTGTGGATGAAACGAGGTAAAATCCTTTCAGCAATCCCATTAGGAATGTTTACCAAACTCACGTCGTTATTTGCAACTTGCAAATTTTTTTCTAGATTTCTTCCTCTCGCTGAAGCAGGCTTAAGTTAAGCAGGGTTACATATTTGTAAATAGGTGCATGCATATGGATTTAACGTGTTCGGTCGTTATCTATGTATTGAATTAGCTAGTTTTTTTAACAAGGTATAGATTTCCAGTTTCTTAATGTATTTGTATCTCCTTTACGTTAAAGTTGGTCAACGACCAGGCTCCTTTGTACCCATGAACATGTTTATGATAAAGTATTTTCATCCAAACGGAATGCCTGTCCATGAAAGTTGTATGTACACAAGGCCCTATTTTTGGTCCTTGTTCAATTGTCTCTGCTCTTCGGGGTGATGATAAGAAGTGCTAAGAGTAATCATGATAATGGCCGTGATGACACTCTTCTTACCTGGAAACGTTCATTACTTTCGCTACGTGGCTGCGTGGGTGGGTGGATGGAATGGCATGATACCAACTTTATTGGAATTTCCAAGTACAATTTTGTGTCAAACTCAAGGTTTGTAGATATATTTACGGTGCTTCCATATTCTTCCAGGCGAAGGTTTGGCAGGAATTTCTTTGTTTAATGATTTTCTCTGTGTCACCAGGATAAGGAAGGAAGACGATAATGGGCGAGGTACGTACATATCTTTGGACTGCGCGGAATCTACAGCTGGCTGTTGACGAAGAAGGCTTATCGTCCCTTTCACAGTTTATTTATCGTTTATCGCTCTACGTGCCGCGACAACATGTACGACCCACCAACCAACCATCAAGTGCCTCACAGCCCACCCACCAATACGGAATTCACACGGTTGAAATATCCGATAAAAGCTTCTCTGCATAGACGAATAGAAAATATATATAACGATCACCAGCTCAGTTCAGTAGTGATTCGACGACAACGTCCAGGTTATAAATCCTACTTAATGACTTTGCCAACATAGATTGGATAACGAGGAGTTGATGAAATTGAGAGAATCTGCACAATGTTTGATTAGAGATTCTCTCGGTTCAACTAATGAGACTATGAGGAAGTGAGTTATTTAGTGACAGAGTACACAAGCAGTATGTATGCAGCATACATATACGTGTATATCCTGAGATTTCAGCCTGACATTGATCAGGTGCTAATTACACGGCCGACCATATCGCATTCATTACTTCCTTCCTCCAACGAATATTCACTACCAGACTTCTCCATGAATAATAATATGTTGACGATCATCAAAATTATGAAACCACCACCACGACTAACAAAAGACAGCACTAAAAGTGTCCATGTCTTATACATAATGCGCAGCGTATAACTTTACGTAATTCTCACCCACATTAAAGTAACACCCACCACAACTTCTGAGAAGTTGTCTAATCAAATCATGAGCAAAGATATTATCATTGCTTTTACTACTTTCACTTCAACGACCGAGTCACATTCATCATACTTTGACTACGAATTTATGCGTAATGCAGTCAAGTCATGGGAAAATGGTTTGAAAGTGGTCCGTAGTACGCGACAAGGTTAGTGTGGTACGAGAATGGCGAACCGCACACAACAATCTGCTTCATTACCTTTTACCCCACCCACTAACCGACTTGAGTGTTCATACCTCAACTCCAACCAACAATTAAATGCCCAGACTTTTCGACGAGAAGTATTTATTAATAAGTCGGCGTCTGCTTTGTGAGTGCCATGTGTTGCATAACATGACACGCCAACCAACAAAATATGTAGCATACGTCCACTCCTGATCGAGACAACGTGAGGGTTCATTGCTTCGAGTGAAAGCAATAAGGGTGGCTTCTTGGCTAATCCCACCTTGGGTGTTACATACGTATGTAGGAACCACTCACGTACAAGAAGTCGCTCGAGATTACTTGTGTTCTTGCAACATTTCGCCAAAAGCGCATTTGCACGAAGTAAAGAAAAAGTTGGCTGTTACCTCGCTCGCACAGTTTAGTGTATCATAATCGTATCTTATTCTTCTTATCCCAGTTTACGGGATGGATACTCTGAATGGGGCGAAATAATGCGGGCAGCAGGTATCAATTAAAGTCGGTTTCATTTCGGACGTGCAGTAAAGTTGCTCTTTCACTCCATCATATCAAATCGCTCTCATACCTAAGTAATTCTTAATTTGATTCAGACTTCTCATATACCTTGGGGCATAATAAAAGGACCATTACGATAACACTGCGAACGCACCTGCTCCCAATGTCAATGAGGGAAAGTGGGGGAAAGTGATACTTTTCCTACCTCCTCGTCATAACCATATTTCAGCTGCTGCTTTCTCTCTCCCCACAATTTTTGCTCTGGGTTTAATAAATAAATAAATTTAATGGAAAATTGAGCAGTAGACAGTTACAATTTATGTCAATTATGAAAAAATAAGGTTGCCGGATCCCATAAATTTTCATAAACGGATTTCTACCGTGAAATACATATATAAATCACACCCAATCAAAGGCTTATTTTATATGTACATATGTATACGGTTATCGTTTTCCAAAGGGTCGTTTCTCAAAATCATTAGAACCACCCACCCATCAAATCTAGTAATAAAGACTGCCATCAGACCAAGAACGAGCCGTAATGGTGGCCGTGGTGGTGGTGAAGCCTTAGTGAAAAACAAGTGAAAGTTGGCCAGGGGTTTCCTGGCTCATTTAATTTCCTTCATTGAGTTTCCTCACTACTTTCTCATTGTCCGTTTCGCTCGGCCTAATTTAACTTTATTGGAGTTAAAGCGAACTGGACTCTCGACTTAAATCAGTGGGTACGAGGAAAAGGTGCCTTATTTCACTTTGATTCCGATTCGACTTGATTTCCTGGCCGAAACATTGGTTTGGCTGGAATTCCGATCGGATGGAATTTGCTAGGTTTGGTTTTTGGCTCGGTGTTCCACACACTTTCCTCTTCTGGCCAACCTCAGCAGTCAGAGAGGAAATGGAAGACCGGGTTGACGACGACGATGACCAATATTTATGGTCCAACTTCTGTCGCCAACTAATCTAAGAGTTAAGACTTATTACGCCCATACAACGCAGCGCTACTTGCTGGGTGTCATTATTACGCTATACGAATGTATAAGGCGGCCTACACCTCGGAAGGAACCCACCATCATTACTCACACAATGCACTCCTCTTAAACCCGATTGTTCTCATTTTACCCACCAACCAAATTCCTCGAATGACTGGGACAATGTGTCATTATGAAAACTTTGTCGCTATAATTTCTCCCTGACTCCCACACTGCATGCAAATTTAAGCACATTTCGAGTGCGTGCATTCATTCCCAAATCGAATTCCACCACGTCATACAAATACATTAGCTTTAAAGCGGCGGGACAAAAAACGGGCAGTGATCCGTTTGCCAAATAATACATGTTCTTGTCATCCGACTTGCATCATTAGTTAGTTTGTGCGAAGCCCAAAAAACAAATTCCTCCCCCCTCCTCCTCCTATCTTTGAGGATGCAGCAGGAGCAGTGAAGTGGCTTTCGTGAAGCGGATTGAGATTGGAGAGCAGTGGATTTGGAGGAGGCTAAAGTAATGCCAAAACCGAAGCGGAGAAAGAAGATTTATTTATGAGCGTGTGTTGTTTGGGTTGGAGCGCACCCCAATTCATTTAAGCTTATCGAATTATGTCATCTGATAAGGAAGATCGAAGATCCCTACCTACCACTAAACAAGTCCGAGTGGGTGACTGGTTCAACATGACTCGGTCGGCTTATCTGCTTCTCTTCTCTTCTTGCAGATTTGCCCAAAGTCGTCTCGTGAACCATTGGAACACAATTTGTGCCACATTAGCATCCTAAACTAGGAGATGTACGTATGCATGCGTTTGTGGTGTGCGAATCAAGACGATCAATGAATTGGGTGCTTTGTGCGAATTTGAATTTGCACTCTTTTTTTAAAAGAACTCTTTGTTTTAGAGTTTCTAAATAAAAGCAGTTTAGATAAGAATTTATGACATTTTTTGTTTATCTGTGTCAACTATAATGACAAGGATTTTCGGAATTGTCAAAATAAGCAAGTGATGTCTTACCTTTGATGATGCCGAAATTGAGACACGTCGCAGTTTCTCGTCTCTGGGTGGGATGCGACAATTCCGAGTTTTGACAAAGTGCGAGAAAAAAGTGCCAGCCAGTCAGTCAGGGATCAGATTGCAATATTATTGAAATTCAAGATTAATGAATCCGTCAAAGTCTCGCCCACTGTGTTTGACACGAGTCGAGAAGAAATGCGAAGGAAATCTGAGACGCGGTCTCACTTTCTGCCTTTCATTTACATCTGCGAATGGTGACAATGTTTTTGAGAAAATTATTATATTCGTCACAAGAAAATCAAGATTTTCTTATTCAATTTAAATCTCAATGTCACAAAATCGTCAAACACAACTTTTTTTGTGAAGTACGCTTTCTTCTTCTCTCAGCGTAACTGGTTGGTGGATAAACAAAATCTGTCTTTCGCAGTCTTGACACTTGTCACGAAAAATTTTGCTTTTACTCCTCCACACAAAAATTCGCCTTGTTTTAGATTTTAGGTTGCGTAATGTAATGCAATTCAAACGAGGAGGTTGTTATATTCAATTGTTTTAGAACACGGCCGTCTTGGCAGGTCGTGGAAATAAAGGAAACTTTCTCTTTGGGTTTTCTGCTTTCAAGTGAAAGTTGAGACTGGCTCATTTTTTGAGGAGCGAGAAAGGGCAGCGAGTGGATCGAGGGGGTTCTAACTCAGACTGGATTCTGATCTTAAGTGGATCTCTCATGTTATTCCATTTCACGGACGAAGCCAAGTTGGTTGAGATGAGACTGCTTTTCGTGTCCGTCTCTCCCTTGCCTATTGTGGGTTTTGTGCCCACGCAGGTGCACCTACACCCGGGTATTATGCATCCCATGCTAAATTGTACGGGTCTCATAACTTGCTGGCTGGTGGTTTGTATGTTGTTTTATAAATTGGTATTTAATGCTTGTACGAAGGAAGGAGTGAAAGTGTTGATGTTACAGGTCCAACTTGATGAAAAACACTCGTCCTACTATGAACAAGAAGAAACAACAACGTGGCATTTGTTTTGCTTAAAAGTTGCTTCAGAGAATACGCAGGTTTATGAACCTGTCAGACAGAACTTTAAGCCTTGAGCACATTAAGAGCACGTAATTTCCAAGTTTTAACCGCACTAAGTGACGACAAGAGGCCAACAATGTAGTTGTTGATGTACACAAAATACAAGAGTAACCGAATGTACATACATACACCCACGATCATAAAACAAACACAAAGTTAAAACCGTCCCGTTTCTTCGTTACTTGGCCATCCATACCCAATTTATTTTTTGGAGAAAGTTTTCCTGTTTTAAATTTGTAGACGTAGATTCTTCCATGTATGAACTGGTCGTAATAAAGTTACTGATCAGAATTTTCATCAATTTATTCTATCCAAGTTCACAAGAAATACATGAAAGTCAAAGTAATTGGTCTTAATAAGACGTCATTGGACGACTGACTTCTTTGTCTTCGGGAAGAAGTATGTACTGCCAGCCAGGCAAACTGAATTTGGTAAGCTTTGAACTATACTTTATGAAAAAAGAAGTAACTTTTGCAGTTGATTGATCAAAATGAGATTGGAAATAGAACACAATCGATTTTGGAGACGGGATATACGCCTCCGTACAGGGAATTCTATGAAAGGACAGCGAATATGAAAGGCAGGAAGGAAATAAAGAATGGACGAACACGTATGTACTCGAGATGCTTGGAAAACTAGGAAATCTTGAAAAACAACGATCCGTCACTGGCCAAAATCAACGTCAGTCGATCCATAACAATCTCAATTATGGAGCACCTGCCAATATAGATATTTTTGTAAAAAATCCAACCTTTTTACCCCGAAATACATCCCCTCCATTACCTAACTACCTACCTTATTAACTTTTATGGACGACTTCACCCACCTCACTTACGCAATGCATCATCAAAGAAAATTTATTCCCATTCTCAAAACTTGTTACGTTCCACAAACTTTCTTTATTTAACGATTTCATTTCAATTAAAGACTTTCAAACAATTTTGACTGTGAGACCGGTCGCTTTTTCGAAGAATGAGCACGAATCAGAATTGTTTCTCTGGACCCACCACCCATAGTGACCTTCCCCCCCGTTGAATCCGTTCGCATCGCGAGGGTCCCTGTTTCTCCTGTCGGACTTCCACGGCTCATCAATCGCCTCGAACATGACGACTTTGACGCCATGGGTTGCCGCCTTTTGTCCCACGAGTTCCCAGAATTTGGCCATGTTGCTGACGGTGGAGGGAGACCCGTTGAACGCCACCCCTTCCGATGGCCACCCCGTTTCTCCCACGATCAGGTCGCACTTTGGATTCACGCTTTTAACCATATCGTTCAATTTCGAGTAGGTGTTTGACACCGAGTTAACGGCAGATTCGACGCTCTGCATTGAGGTCGTGTAGTCCGGGTAGAGGTTGCACATCAGATAGTCAGAGTCTCGTACGAGTTGGGTTAGAATTGCGACAATGTCAGCGTGCTGGTTGTTGGGGTCTAATGCAGTCTCACAGTTTTGCGTTCTAGCCCCAATTTTCAGGTTGGAAGCTTGAAATTCTGGATGACTTTTGATGGTGTTGATCATCTGAGAAACCTTGATTCCTTCCTGAACACTGAAGATATCTTCCCAGTTTACGGTTAAGGCCCAGACGGTGTTTGGGAATATGGCGTTGGCAGCTTGAGCCCCTTGGAATGCGGAGGTGACCTCGGCCAGTTGGGAGGTTGGATCGGCCAGTTGGTGAATTCCTTGAGCAATTGAGAGTAGTTTTTTGTTCGCTGCTTTATTCATGGATGCTGTCACGGTAGGAATGTGCGAGGTGATGGAGTCTGTAAATTGTGGTCAGTATTTTTGCTTTGTCTGAAATAATGTATTTAAATATCAAATTTTTTACTACCTCTGGTACCAAAGTTGTACGTCGCGATATACGTAAACTTTGAACTGATCAAGGTCAACTGGCACTCCAATTGCTGCAAAGTATACGAACTCCACTCTGGAATTGTATCATTCGCCTCCCATTGTTTCGTATACGGCCCAAACGCCACCCCGACATGATTCCGGTCGAATTTGTACGTGCTGGCCGTACAAAGCGGCTTGATATATTCATGGTAAAATTACAAATCAGTGGAAATAAGGGTCAATTAAATAGAATACACAAACCATAACCAAACCACGAACCATCATCTGACTTACTTACCACGAGCCCCAAGTTGAGAAGAAGAGATGGAAAAGACGCCAGCATTTTTATGTCCACCTTGCCTCGTGGTGTGGTGACTGAGATGGTTGCACAATTATTTTATAGCTTTCACACTACGTGACTGCTAATAAATATTTTGCCCCATCGCGCCCCACCACCTCGCAATTTGACAGCTTGGCTAAATCCAAACTGACGTAATAAAATCAGTCATGAGTCTTTGTGCAAACAGAAACGGAATGATTTATCACACGTCTCATCTCATCTGGGGAAATAGGATGTGGTATTTTTCCAGATGCTCCTATTTCTTTTTATTACACATCATGGAAATGTTTCCCGAGCTGCATATCCATACATAAAGACGCACCTTGTAATTTATGGGAGATACATATTTACTACTCACCATGAAGAGGATATTGCATACATAATGCACAGTAATGTTGATCATTCTACCAGAATCTCGTATTTTTTGATGGATGAGGAATCCATTTAGCGATCCGCATGATGATGTGTCAGACATCAGTGTAAACTTGGCATTGCAGCAAATATTTTATTTTGTCAGGTAAATATGTACATGCATAAAAATGGCATGAATGGAGCAACACAGATCATAAATTCTGACTATTTTTCATGCAATCGCAGTTTACCTACAGACATCCATAAGTGTGCCAAATTATGCAGCCTGACAGAAAAAAAGCTGCCCGAAAAGTAGTCGTAAAGGCGAAAATAAAATTGACAATTTCATGATGCTATTTAATAATTTACAAACTATATCAAACAAAGAATTATTATAAATCATCGGGAAAAAAGCTACCCGAAAAGTTTTCATGAGAAATGTCTAAAATTTTAAACTGATAATTTTATAACGACACTATTTAATATACTTTACAAACCATATCAAACTAAGAATGGGTATATATAATCTGTATTTACAACTCGAGCTTTTCAACCAAAATAATGCAAGTCTATTTAACTCCACCAAATCCCACGCAACTATTTCATCCTTTAAATTGAAGGGTTGTAACAACGCTCGCACAAAGGAAAGAATGGATAGCAAGTAAGAATAGCAAGTTGTAAATCTCTGCGATGCTACAAGAATAATATCTTGTGAATGCTTTGCCAGTTACCTGTGCAGGTTTATGAAGTTACCTTCTTACAGTAAGTACGATTACTATTTAGTAAGTGAACCACCTTGCCTTGGTTGGCTTGGCTTGATTCGCCTTTGTTCAGGAGTAGATCAGTGAGTCAGTAGTGGTGCTATTCTTTTGCATGCTTAGTGCGTTTGTGTTCTTGACGGAGGACGCATGTTGCTGAAAGAATTGCATTAAATTGCAACTGCAGCAACGACGGTGACCAGCATTTCATTTCATTTATTCCGATTGACTAATTAGTTGTGGAGCAATCCAGGAGGCAATTTGGGGAAAAGTGTCCACTTCTTCTGTGATCTCTTCTGTGAATACGTACATAATAAAATTGGAAGGAAAAGAGTGATTGGATTTAATCATCGTAAAGAAGGTATTTTTTTAATTTTTACATATTGTAGCATTTTTTCAAGGAATTCATGCATATTTTGAATCTGGAACTTTCAAAAATTTTACTAAACACACAAACCATTCATTTTCATCTTCAAGGCTTTTGCCAATTTCTTTTATTTTTCTGTTGAACAACGCCCATTAAATTTACTGCCAGAAGAGTTGAACTTTTTAAGGCTTGAGACAGTTACTGACGATCGTGAAATCCAATAAACAATGATGCCAAACATCCTCTCAAATGGTTTTAATACGAAGTTCATGCACAAACTACCTCCGTGCAGCTCAAACATTGCTTACTTACTTGCATATTATTGGTATTTATCGTCTCGCCTTTAGCTACCAATATGAAAGCGAGAGTGCTTAATAATGTTTTAAAATTCTTAACATGCAAAATAAATAAGGCAAGAATTTACATCACATTACGACTCGCAAACATTTATGTGTGGATAAAGTTGAAGGTAATTGATGGTTGTGAAGAAAAGCATGTAGGGAATGTTTGCAAAATGCGAAATGTGTCAGCAGGCTTTTTTTGCCATTCAGGCAGGACCCTGCCATAATAAGGGGGCGACGTCATGTGACACATTATGTATAAGAGGGCAGACATGCACCTACAAATAAATATAGCGCTCTTCTTTTTGCACACTTTTCTTCTAAGGAATATATAAGAAAAAAGATAATAAAGAACGAAACATCAAAGCACGCACCTTGAGAGCTGAATTATTATTGCATGCAACTTATTTAACACAATGCGCTACAATTTTGGAATCTGCTCGGCTCCAAGAAGATTACTTCAAAGGACAGCAGGGCAATTTTTGTCTTCTTGTCTGGTCTCAAAAGAGTCAAGTTTTATGTTTAAGGTGTGCAAAAAGTGAGAGTGCAAAAATTACAATTTTTTTCTTGTCAAGAGTTAATAATTGCAAGGGTGGTGTGGTGTGCGAAGGGAGAAGGTGTGATCTACATAAATATCAGTACTTGCAAAAAAAATGTCTTGAAAATATGAACTAATTGCAAAGTTATCCGTAAGAAATATGTATGTAGTTAATTTGCAAGTGCAAAAATGAGTATATTGATTTTTAATAATGTGTAGAAAACCATGAAATATTTTGCACTTGAATTTAAATCACATATATACGCAAAACACGGACGTGTGTTTGCAGATACGTACTTTTTTAAGAACGTGTGCAGTGCCAAACTATTTACGGCGAAAAATCTCATCCAACGTATTCCTTTGGCGTGTACGTATCTTGAGAGATATTGTTAGCTTAGTTTGCTGATTGTTGCTGCTGGTGGTTTTGTGGCGTTCAATTCAATATTCACGGACTGATTCCCAATTATGACTCGTGTTCCTTCGTGTCTCAATTGATGTATGTATTTTTATTCCATAAGGACTGCCTTCATTTACAACTGCACTGCACTTCCAAAAAAGATAGCTGATTCAGATACCTTTTGCCAAATACGCATTTACCTCAACTTTGCCGGCAACAATGCAAAATAATTATTTTTACAATGTAGTTCACGTTGCAATTATTGTTATTATTCCTTCAAAAAAAATGAACATTCCATAAAACAAAATTCAAGTTCAGCTTTAAAAAATAATATACTTGCAAGAACAATAACTGACTCGAAATCTTGTATTTTTTTAATTACCAGCCATCAATACTAATCCCATTTTATGCTATTAATTATAGCAATATATATATCCAAGTAGTGTTGAAAGATAGAGGAATAACTTATAATGACGATAATGATAATGGTTAATCTTGTTACAAATGATTTATTGCCCAGATTAAGAATATTATTAAAGAGAAGATCACGACGGTATTAATTTCTAAACTTTACAACTTTATATAAATGTACTTACGATTCCTGAAGAAATCTGAGTCAAAATGAAACAAAGCCTCAATTCGCAGAGTCACGACGAAAAGTTTCTTTACGAAATCTCTCTTGTTCTTCATCATTATTCGTTTGTAGATATTCCAATTCAAGAGCGGATAAATTGTCAGCATCATCAGAAGATAGATATGCGTCTTCATTACTTTTGCTACTTTTGCTAATAAATGACGAGTTAGTTTTTGCCGACTTTTTCTCTCTTCTCTTCTCACTCCCTGATTCATATTTCTTCACTTGTTCTTAAATAAATTAGCTCAAATTACAAGACAGAATATGCCGTCGTGTTCTTAATCAAATGTAAACGACGGTGATGCCGTTGCTGTGTTGTAAAATTAAAGTTACTAACTGTTGTTTATGCATTGCAAAATGTGAGAAGGAACAGTTAAATAGTGCAAATATTGAAATTGACGCATTATCTAAATCGTAATTTATTTATTTCAACTTCCATTTCCACTTGCCAAATGTTCGTTTTCCGTATCCACCTCTCATCATTTTTTTCAAGATGTGATGTGATGAAATGAAAAAGTGAGTGTCTTCTCAACATGTAATTTATTTCATGACAAGAAGTTCCGATGATAATTGTGGAAGCAATTTCTTGTCGGATCAAAAGTGATGCACTTCGTTAAATAAATATTCTTCAAGTAAATAAGTGTTGGATTCTTCTCCCAAACAAAAAATTATGCGCATTTTTATCATAAAATAAATAAGCAGACAGGAAAAAAAACGAGAGAAATTTTTCGGAAATGAGAAATATATGTAAGCAAATTACTACGCATCCCGTTTATGTAACAACTTGCCTTTGTGTTTGTACCAATTTTCTGTATGTAGCTCAAATTACAAGACAGAATATGCCGTCGTGTTCTTAATCAAATGTAAACGACGGTGATGCCGTTGCTGTGTTCCGGGAGGAAATGTGGCAGACGAAATCAAATTTAAATATATTACGGCAAAAATTCCGTTTTTATTAGGTAATAATCCAGATTAATTCGAGGAGATTCATGCGGAATTGTTGTTATACAATGGGAACAATCCTTATTCACGTGGATGCCGCCGCACCCAATATTTGTTGTAATGGTGCATTATAAGTATTATTATATGCCTAAAAGTGATCTAAATCTGTAAATCGATTCATTCCTTGGTTGAAGTACTTATGTACAACATGCACATGAAAATTCTTACGAGGGAATTGGGGCGACTAACGGGACGAGAGTGAAGAAGAAGAAGGCGGAGGGTCGAACAAAACTTGTCTGCATCCGAAGATGGATTGATGAAAGTTTACCTGAATTCATAAAATTCGTTCGTAGTGCATCCTTCCTTCCTCTTCGCCCACACGTCTCTCCATTGTTGGCTCACTTTTATATTTAGGCTGAAAATTTGACCCTTCCAGCCTTGTCGGATATTTTTGGAGGACTGGTTTCAGTTTAAAGTTGGAGGATTCAATTTCAGCCAAATTCTTAACATTTCTCGAAGAAATTATGTATCTATTTACTAATTAAAATTCAGCGTGTTTGAATTTGGGTTAGTTTGGCAAAAAATGTAACATTTAAATATTTACATGCATATTTTACCTATACCTAACATTATTATTTGCAATTTACTGCTACGTGGATGTAAATGCGTAATAAATTGCAAATCCTTCACCTCCTCTCTCATGACGCATTGTTTTCCTTAAATTGTTATTTTTATCCGTAGATAGCACCTTCTTTTATAAAAATTAATTTGCTACATGCCTTATTAATCATGCTTGTCTGCATGGATTTCCATAAGCACAGGGGGAAATCTGGTGTGTAACGTTGCCAACATAAGTGCAGTTCAATGTGAACTTGATTGCTAAAGAAGAAACAACAACAATTACCACAAGGAATAATTAAATGAACTTGCTTTACCTTTTTAAAATTGGGAAATGGACCTTTATTTTTTATGCGTCCATCCATCCATCCATTTGTCTGACAGAATGACTTACTGATCGTATCGTGTTATGACCAATATTGAAAAAAAGTCTGCATTATTATTGCCTCCGTTTGCTCACTTTATTTATCCTAGTTTTGCTATGCATCAACATTTATACGCGAAATAAGGAATGCGAAGCACATAACATAACTCAACTTTAATTTACCTTTTGAATGAGCACATGCATATGCAAGAATACAGAAATTGGCAATAACCATAGTTCTTGTGAAGTAATAAAGTTGCAACTGGCTCGCTGAACTAGGCACGTATGAACATTCGAGATTACTCTATCTGAATGAAATGAAGATCACCAAATTTGTATTTTACTTGCCAATTGGCATCTGTTTTTTATTGTCAATGTCAAGTCGGCTAGGTTATTCAGCAAGTGTCAGCAATACATACGTGAAATACTACATATTTTTGTATTAATTTAATGTTAAAAACAGTTAAATATTTTTTAAAAATTTTGCAGATTTTTGCAAATGACATTTTTACCTAAAATAAGCTCATCGTGGGCTGAAATTTTATTTTTTACAACCTGTTAGCAAGTACCTTAAAAAAGAAGAAAACTGAGAAAAACAGATTGTGTGGTCTAACAAAGAATGAAGATTTATGTTTCGCCCAGTTAACCACGCGGTTGACAATAATAATTATTTTCCGAGATAAGCGTGGTCATTATGAATGGTCAATGATTTTTAGATTCTCTGTATTTTTATTGTTTTTTATTCTCGAGATTTTATGTAACGACAAAATTATTATATAATTTCTAATTTCATTTGCTTTCTTATTATATAAAAATGAAATTTATGCACATGTGTGATTCAAGTGAAATTGCGGCAGGGTGGCAACATACCTCTTCTTCCAAGTGGCTTGTTTTGTGATGGACGTATGTATACACATGACCACATATTTACGCCACCGTAATGCGACAAACAACACAGTCGAACTGCTAATTTGAATTAAAAATGCAGTCGTAGTCTTAAAAAAATTATACGTTGCGTTGCGTTAAGTGAAAGTTGTTTGTCAAGTTTTATTCAAAACTTTTGAACCTTTAATACCCATCTTTAAAAATACAAGCTCGTTCCACTTGCAAGATTCAGATATTTATTTACGCACCTCAAACTACTGCACAAAAGAAACATG